CTATGTATCCAGAGACCTTCCTCGTACTTGGCGCTCAGCGCCTAGACTACGATCACACATCTACTACCCAGCCTACAAATTGACAATGCAACCTGTTGACGTCAGCAGCAGCGACTGAGTACATGCAGATATCGACCATGTAGATAATCGCCAAGACTAGGTACGTGTGTTACGTGTGCTCACGTCATCATCCTAATACCTCCCTCTCTGAATCACATGCGACTTCTTCATCCACGTCTTCCCTCAACACGAAGACCACCACCACCCACTGAATATCTTCCAAGCTGGCCCGACTATGGGGCCCAGCTATGGCGCTGCAACTTTGCAGCGCTCTTCTACCTCATGACCGCGCTCGCGTATCTGCACCGGTGCTAGCAGCAACGCGCGAGCGTAAGCTCCAGCAGCGCTGCCACTCGCTTGGCCCCGTGAGCCTGAGTTTCCAGTAGTTTCAGTCTCGGCCAACGTGTTTGCACCAGTTGGCCTGGGACCGAATTGGGTAGGCAAGCCCAACCACCCAGGCACAAACACACGGTTTTCCCTGCTTTCGCGACGTTGCTGGAAGAGCCTGGAAGGCTCACAAATATTTCAGATTCTCACGAGTGGGGCGGATGTAACCAACTGACTCGTGGCAATTGTCTGGCGCCTGACTAGATTTGCAAAACTCGACGAAAAATGCTAGCATAGATATAGATATATATGACGATATATATATATTGTCACAGAGTTATCAGAGCGCAAAAGCGAAAAAACAAAGAGAACAAAAAAGATATCAATTCATTTTTTATCTTCTTACTTACAATTCCCCCTGTTCAGAACCTCTTGCGTACAAGGCCGCCCACGTGGATGTGGTTCAGCAGTGGCTGCCCCCACCCCCATGTGTCATATTGACCCACTTGCACACAGCCAAAAGGCAAAGAGGTAAAGAAAAGAGGAAGGAAACAGCCAAATATAACAAAACAGGGGGCATCAAGATCCTGGATGGCAAGCTCCACATATAAGCACCGCCCCGAACTTTACAGGCCAAACGACGGGACAAGACCAACCAGGATATCAAAACACTCTTGCCTGCAAAAAAAAAAATTCCAAGTACATATCTATATACAGCAGATGGCCTTGTTCGTCATCAAGATGTTGGCATTTTCTATTCGTAAACCATTCATGCTCTCATAGGCGGAACAACGAAAAATCCCGGGTGATTGGTCCCACATGAAAGTATATATATATATATATATATATATATATATATATGTGTGTGTGTGTGTGTGTGTGTATATATCTATATATATAGAATATCATTTACAGTGTAATCAGTGAGGGGATTCTGCAGACTGTTGAGGGTTCAGCCTCCTGACGAGTCGGTGAAACTCCGACGAAACAGTTTGTCACAGCCCCTCGTTTGTTGTCCTCTTCTCTCTCTCTGCCTATGGTTTACCGGGCAGTTCTATTTGTGACGATATATAGAGAGAGAACATGGGGAGTTGTAAGGAAGAAGATAAAAAAACGATTTTTTTTTTTTGGTTTCTTTCTGCGCTTTGCGCTTTGGTAACTTTGTGACGATGTCCTCTTCTCCCTCTCTTCCTACGGTTTACCGGGCAGCTCTGTTTGACTATATATATACACAGCCTCCGATGAAACAGTTTGTCACAGCTCCTCCTGATCTATATATCGTCAAACAGAGCTGCCCCGTAAACCGTAGGCAGAGAGGGAGAAGAGGACAACAATTGAGGGGCTGTGACAAACTGCTTCGCTTGAGATACATATATATATATATATTTGACGATATATATATATATATTTCATGGTAAAGCCTCGTGATGAGTCAGTGAAACACAGATGAAACAGTTTGCCACAGCCCCTTGTTTGTTTTCCTCTTCTCCCTCTCTGCCGACACTCTACCGGGCAGTTCTGTTTGATGATATGTGTATATCTATCGCCAAACATATATGATATATATGCATCAGCCCCTTGTTTGTTGTCCTCTTCTCCCTCTCTGCCTACGGTTTATATCAGCCTCCTGATGAGTCGGTGACACTCTGATGAATGAGTTTATCAGAGCCCCTCGTTTGTTGTCCTCTTCTCCCTCTATGGCTGCGGTTTACCGAGCAACTCTGTTTGACGATATATATACATATCTTTATATGGGAATGAAATGGTATTCACCAGTTAGCAGTAGCTGCTGCAGATCCCAGGGTTCGAGTCCTAGACCCCAACCTTACCTGTGTACAGTACCTGTGTTGACCCGTAGAAATGAACCCGCGACCTGTGTATTTGTAATAGCTGATAGGTTGTCGTAGGGTCCATAGGTAGCATGGGTTCGATCTGTAGACCTGTCGGATAGGAGTCTTAGTCAGGTCTAGACATCGTAGCTGTAGTTTTCTTGAAAGGTCAAGGTCGTAGCTGCTACAGTCCAGAAGGGTCAGAATCGTAGCTGCTACARTCACGAAAGGCCAAGTCTACGGCCTTCCGGAAGGTCCCAGTAGTGGCCTTTTGGAGTTGCCCACATTTAAGCAGAGGCAAGTGGTCAAGTGGTGAGGCAAGTGGGCAAGTGGTAGAAGTCTACCCTGCTGAGTCAACAGTCCCAGTCCCCAGTCAGTCCAGCAAGTACCACACGGGACTGTGTGCACTTCGGGCAAGGGAAATGGGCCAGACCAGCGACCTGCAGAAGTATAAGTCAAGAGGCAGCGCCCAGCCATTCATTCATTCCTGCGTGAGCCATGCGGAAGCGCAGCCACAGCGACTTGTGCAAGGAGGTCTGCGGATGAGCCCGGAGGACGCAGTGGGCGAGAGAGGAGGAGTTAGTATAGCAATAGGTTAGAGGCAGCCATAGCTGCCATAGCTGTAGTAAGTAGGAAGTGCGTATGTGTGTTCGAGTGTTCAGAGTGACGTGTATGGGATATCCAGGGTGATCCGGCGTGTGTAAACAGTAAGTTGTTGGGCGCTGAAGTCGCCATAGCCAGTCGAGAGAACTCGTATCTGGAATCCATATCTCTGAGTTTTGTGTGGGCGCATGTCGCCAATTTGCTGCGTTGCCGTTTACATGTATGAAAAGTGTGTTTGAGAATGAGTCTGATTGCATTGGTATCGGAGCTGGTACCCGCTATTCCATGCGCGTCGTCGTATGCAGGGCCTGATGCGCCATAGCCGAGGTGGCCGCTGAAGGAGATAGTCCGCCATAGCGGGCCTGAGGACGAAGAAGCCGCCGCGCACCTGCAAGAAGACCACGACGAAGAAGAAGACACACACACACACACAGAGAGAGAGAGAGAGAGAGAGAGAGA